TTTGCTTGTTTTAATCAATTTTAAATCATGCTTTTTATTTGTTCTTGTTTCTAATGTCTCTGTAAAGCACTTTGAATCACCTTGTTGTTGAATTGTGCTATACAAATAAACTTGCCTTGCCCTATCATGCCAGAAGTCAGCCAGCAGTGCGGACTTGATACCAGATCCTGGCCAGACCTGCTTGCTATGTGGGCACTAACACACACACACAGACACAGTTACTTTACCAACTGACCCCTGACCCCTGAGCTCCTAAGTGTCCTTCAAACCTCATTCAGGGATCCACTCCTCTACTTCACTGTCACTCCCTGAAAGCTCACTGTCCTCACTTTCTGAGGACAGAAAGTGCACATTCCCTTGGTTTCCTTCCATAAAAGGTATTTACATCCATGTCCTGTAATTATGAGCAGATTGTAAAGTAAAAAACATTGACTATGATCATATAAATGCACACAAACACATCTCTACACACATATGCAAATGCATTATATTGCCTGAAAAAAAACTGGGCTAACTGCGCAGTGTTGCCATGAGGCAACGAATGAAAATTAACAGTTTTACTGTATAAATACATTTTAAAAAGTAGAAAAAACAATCAAATATGCTTCTTAACATATTCATGCACATACAAGTATTTTTTAATATACATTTATTTCACCATAAACATGTAAAATAGTGATCTTTATCTTGCCTCCCAATGGAGATGTCTCTCATGTAGTGCAGCTTGCAGAAAGGGGTCCCCCCCCACCCCACCCCCCCACACACACACAAATGAAAGTCACACCACCTTCAACTCATCATTTTATTGGGAAGAGATGTGCCTGGTAGCATTATTTGAAAAAAAAAAAGGGGGGGGGGGGTTTGAGGGGCCAGTGTAAGGCATGAAAATGTGGTTTGTTGCCTCAGGGCAATGCTATGCAGTAGAGGGTTAAGTTAGCCTCCAGCAACACTTTGAGGAACCTGGTAGTCATTTTTGAAGTATGTCTGACATGCTGACAAACTAGTTCATGCATGTGTTATGCTTAGACTGGACCATTGTTAATCATTATTGTCAGGTTGCTCTGAAAGATCTCTGGAGAGCCGGTTGATCCAAAACACTGAAGTGGGAGTAGCAAAAGGGACTAGAACACAGACCGCCTTTCTCCCGTATTGGCTTCTCTTCACTGACACTTAGTTAGTTCTAGAATTTAAACTAAAATATTTCTTCTTGCACACACACACACAAGTCTTGAATAACTATCATAACCATCTCTAAGATATGCTGCCATAAGCTCAGGCTGCCGAGGAACTTCCTATGATGCAATGAGCATTTTTTTTGCCACCATGTGATTTTATCTTTTCTCTGAGATAGTTTGTTTTCTCCTCATCTCTGCGAATGCCTCTTTTCTTTTCTCTTTCCCCTCACAGCCGGCTTCAGCAGATTGTTGCCCCTCCAAGATCCTGTGTCTGCCAGAGGTTTCTTCCTGTTAAAAGCAAGTTTTTCCTTTCTACTGTCACCACATGGTTCTTTAAGGGGGTTGGAAGGGGTCATTTGATTGTTGGGCATTTTTCTGTAATATTATTTGGTCGTTAACTTGAAATAAATTAAGCCCTAAATTTAAGCATAGTCCCTCTAAACCAAAATGTATGATGCTTGCTAGATAACGTGCTGGATACAGTGAAACCTGAGAAAAGATTTTAAGGGAAACTGTTGTTATAATTCAGCTATATAATTAAAACATTGGACAGTAAGTGAGGCAGTATTGGCCAGTTTGGTTTGCCAGTTTCTTTATTGTGGAAATGCTAATCATCACAGCATAGGAAAGGCCAAAGTAGAAATTTCCATATTTCCTATTATCAATTCATAAAACTTTTGTTGTTAAAAATCAAAGGCTTCTGAATCCCAACCTGAGAAATTTCAAAACATAAACGAGGTAAACAAAAAAAAGGATCTGTTTTCCTTTAAAAAGAAAAAAAGAAATCATTCATTCTGTAAAAAAATAATAAAATAGAGAGAAATTAGAGAGATTACACATCTCTACATTCACGTTACACCATGTGCAGAAGCAGGACGAAGCGGCAGTTCCTGACTATCATGAGGTTTACTTATTTTTCTCTGACAGTCACATTGATACTAAAATTACTAATATTCACCAGCTTCCATCATCATCACAAAGACTTCAACTGTGTCTTCAGGATCGTCACCCAACTGTGAAACTACACAACACCCGATTCTGTACACGCTAGAGTGAAAGCTGTCTGGCACAATAGACTCGTGATATAAGACAGAATGATCAAAGGTTGCAGGCCTTTAAAGCTGGAGGTTAAACTTCTTTTTCACATCGTCATGTGAAATATAACGGCAGCACATTTCATATCATTTTTACAGGTTGGATAAAAGAAATTATAAACACACTGGCTTTTGATTCAATCTGCAATCAGACAGACACCATTAGAAGAACAAAAAGGATGAATTAAACCATCACAAATACATGACTTCTGTATAAAATATCAATTTCTCTGTGCATTTTAACAGGGTATGAATGCAGTCAGGTTTTGATCATTTTCAGTCATGTGACAGGATACACACATGTCCTCAGCAAATTTTAAGACACATACTTACACACATATATTACAATAAGATAGGGACAAATGTTTGGCACATTTTTTTCTCCAACAAATATTTTACATGAGCAATAATTTGTGTGTACTTCTGGTTAAACAAGAGTTTGGAAAAGTAAACATGTGCCATCTTTACAACTGCAGAAAAGAAAACTCCCTATGCCTTTGTTGTCCTCCATTAAAAATCTGGAAAATACTGGCATCAAGGTGCATCTTATTATTAGTAGTAGCATAAGTTAATTGGCCCATCACCAGATATATTAGCATTGGGATATAATGCTTTCTGATACTAAACAGGGATCATTTATAGTCTCACTCCATTTTTACAATACTCTGCAGCACATGAAACAGAGCAGCATTACAGATGAGCACAGTGTAGTGTGGAGACCTGTCAAGTCTTCATGGTACGTTGGTGACTAATTTTATTAAATGCCCTGCTGGAAAGTTAATAAACAATGACCCCATCATTTTCTCTTTAAATATACCCCTAGCATAGTGTATGCACTTACACCAATAAGGTGCACAGGTACCTCCCCTTTGACCTGTCAGATACCCTCTATGTAGTGAGGCCTCTGCCACGTTCCAAAGATCAACTGAAACCTAAAGGGTTTCGAGGCCGATGTGACACCTTGGGAAGAAGACTGGCCACAAGTGGTTGAGCTTGGGCTTCAGCAATGGTAATGACCGAGGGACTGGCCGCTGAGTCCCAGTCATCCCCGACTGCTTGTGCAGACTGTCGCTAGGTGAAATAACCTACAATTAAGGTGCTGCACAAAACCCTCCTTGTCAACGCTCAGATTTCTGCTTTCGCCCATTGCTTCTACACAAGACACTAATTTGTCTGCAAGCATTCGCTATCTAACCATGGAGCAGTAGTGAAACTTGCAACGCAAACCAAAAATGGAGTGCACTCACCTCCAAAGCAAAACCCGTGTTTTACTACAAATCTATTATGTTTCAATAGGTGCAACTTTTACTCCATTTCCATTCTGCTCAACAAGCAGCTGGCAAGTGCTTGCAGACAAGTCAGCATCACCTCCCTTTGGGTGATCGTGGAAATCTGCAGGTGATATCTCTTTGCAACCAACTTCACCCAGCAACCACTCACTAACCAGACTGGGAATGCACATTTTTCCCTAGCGACCTTTGGTTGTTGGCGGGTCACTAACTGGCCTCTAGGCCTGCATGATAGGAGCTTTAAGTGAGTGTTACATGTAATAACATCCACATGAATGTTAAGTCTCACTTCACCTTTTAGTGGATTTAAAGTTGTGGCTGACAGTTTTATAATTATAAACAATATCATGTCATTATATACTAATTTATATATATATATATATATATATACGGTATATATATATATATATATATATATATATATATATATATACACTCCATAAGAGTCGTACTGAGCATCAGTCCTGGTAGGGCTCTACTGTTTTCAGCCTTGAGAACACTTTAGGTGTATTTTTCACAAAGCTTTACATTATAGCTTAGTGTAAACGACAGTAAAACACAGAATTTTATTTATCAATGAAAAAGAAAACTCTATTTACTCCTAGTAAGACCAATACTGCTACAGATATCTCAAAAAGTTTCACCTTTCAAGACCCGCACAATATCTAAGCCTCAATTTTACTTAATGGAAACCCAAATCATGTCCTATGAGTAATGAAGTTTTAGCCACATTCATGCATCAGTGCACCTGCATCAGGGAGGTATTGTTAAGCAGCTGGCTGTGTGTTACCTAAAGCACTCGCACAAAGATCTGCTATGTTATCAAATCCTCAGTTACTACAATAAGTTTCCCAGTGCTGCAATTCACTGAACATTTAAAGAACACCTGTTTGTCTTTCTGCCTTTGTCTCCTTCACTCAAAGCCAAAAAATAAATAAATAACAAGCTGGATTCTGGGTTAAGGATACGGATTTGTTGTTCAGGCAGTAAAATTAAACCCCACTGAACCCAAATCTGCCCTCAAAAGTCCAGGTAGTACACAGGACAGTGCCGCTGGAAATGCTAACTTTTTGGGGATTTGGAGTCATAACATGTCACAGCGGAAGAATCTGCTCGAGTGTATCGCGTGTGTTTTGGGCCAGTTTGTCTGGGAATTTAACAGTGAAGTCCAGGATCATGTCACCTCTCTTCTCTGGGAACTTGGACAACGGCAGCCCCTCGCCGCTTATTCGCTTTTTCGTTCCGGGTTTGACAATGTCTCTAGAGGTAACAGTGATGGTCCGGCCGTCCAGTGTGGGAGCTTTGACCGTGCAGCCACACAATGCCTGGAGACAAAAGGACTGATAAGCAGACATCCAAGTGCTTGGCCGAGTTTTGATTATAAGCATCTTTAAAAAGATAAACTAGCATGATAATGTTGGAATGATTATCTTACCTCTCTAAGAGATATTTTTGCAGGATAAACAATATCTGAACCCTCTCTTCTGAACACCGGGTGAGGTTTGTCTTTGACCACAAACACCACATCTGCAGGAATGTTGGTGGCAGTCTCATCCCCCTCCCTGGGAAAGGTGATTTTCGTCCCCTCCTTCCAGCCACGCTTAATGTCCACCGTTAAAATCTTATCTTCGCTGCGCATGGTGCAGCCGTCCGGATTGAGCCTCTTGCGAGAAATCTTCATCTTTTTCGTGCAGCCGGAGAACACCTCTTCCAAGCTCACCTTCAGCTCGTGCACCACAGGCGGGTCCTTCTTCTTCTCGTGTGCTCGGTGAACTCCTGCCGGGTGGGTTTTGAAAGGCCGGTGAAACCCACCCATGCCGCCCATTCCTGGCATGCCAAACGTTGCGAAAGGGTTGTTGATGTCCACGTCGTCTTCCCCGTCCTGGAAGAAGAAGTGATCGAATGGGCTGCGGCCACCGAAGAACTCAGCGAAGATTGCGTGAGGGTCCCCGTGGAAGCTGTAGTTGCAGCTTTGACCGCCATGTCCTCTGCCTCCAGTGTCAGCTGAACCCTTTAATCCTGTTGAAGAAGATGACATCGCCAAGTATTTAAAAAAAGAACGGGAAATATCACTGTCATATCAATGTTTGAAATAGCATGTTTGTTTCGTTTTTACTGTTATTTATTTACCCTTTGATGTCTGGGAAACTAAGCATTCTTTATATAAAAATTGACTGCAAAAAAAAAGAGTTTTCACTGCACCATCACTGGGCACTAAGTCAACACATAGTTGTCTTAACACAACAGACAAACACTGATCACTGCTAATGACAAGGTAGTTATCAGACGACATCAGATAACAGCCACCTGATTATTGATATTTTTGATCAGCTTATTGGTGCTCATCTGTTGAATAATACCTCGGCATTACCGCTTTAACACTTATAACACACTGACCTTAATTCACCCTATATTCACCCCTATGATTTGAATCAACGTCTAAAGATTGCAAACAAACAAACTGACACAAAATATTTACTACTTACAAGAAGTAAATGCTCAGAAGCTAAAATATTTTTCTGCTTCCAGACATCTCAAAGTTTGATCTCTGTCCCTCCCTGTCCATGAGGGTGTGGACAAGGACACCAAAGCCTGAAGGTACAAATCTGTGCCATTTTTTCAAAGCCACAATAATAACAAGAGAGAGGCACACCGACAGGACGGGCAAGAACTTGCTGTTTCCAGCAGGTTCTCCAGCTGCACCCTATTGTACACCCAACTATTGTCAGATAACTGCTGCAGAAAGACCCCAGAAACCGCACTGAGGAGGATGCATGTGTACATCGATTAGATTGAGAGAGTAAGAAGATGCACGTTTTGCTTTGCATTATTTGCAGAGGATTAAACTCGGTAAATGCAAAGGCTGCAAAACTTCGTGCAACCCGGGGGAAGGAGTTCAGTTACCTTCTTCTCCAAAACGATCGTAAATGTCCTTTTTCTTGGCATCACTGAGGACGTCATAGGCTTCGGCGATCTCCTTGAATTTGTCTTCAGCTCCAGGAGACTTATTCTTGTCGGGGTGATAGCGCAGAGCCTGTTTTCTGTACGCCTTTTTTATCTCATCTTCAGATGCTCCCCTGGCTATACCCAGCACTTTGTAATAATCTTTACCCATCACACCGGCCGGTCGGCACTTCTTTCAATTGCTTTTGTCGAAGCTTCGGTTTGACGTCGATAAAACACCCAGCATGCCTCGTGTAAAACGAAGCACAGGTTACCGGGATCCAATGTCTCACCCCGCCGCCGCAGTTGTCCCTGCAGCGGGCAATAGTTCAGATCGCCGTCGGGGTGCTCCTCCAGAAAGTGTCACAGCCCCCACAGCAACTTTCAGCTTTGACCCACTGGCGAGGACGAAAATGTCACCTAGCCCGCCCGCGTTTGCGTAAGTGTGTCAGTATGCCGCACTCGAAACCTTGCGAGGAAACTTCTGGAAGAAGCTGATGCTGCTGATGTGGGTCATCTCTGCCGAGTCGAGAAAATTCACCCCCGACAACTTCCGGTTTCGCTTGAGCCGCGCTGGACGTTTTCAATTAAATGTTTAAGAAACTTGTACTCGAAACCGGGAACCTATCGAGGCATTTATTACTGCTTGGATGACTCGTGTAAAATATCCGCATTTTAAAAGCTCTTAGCACTTATTATTATAATATAAGTGACATTCAAGTACGCATGCGCAGACTACTTAGCAGCGTGAGAAATCTTTTATACTATCGAGTAATTTTTTACAAGTTTCCAGTTCCTCGCTGTACTATAACGCAGGGAGAAGAAGAAATACCATAGGGTAAAAATAAAAATAAGAAACTACGATGACCAGACACACACCGACCACATTTTAAGCATCAAACTCTCCATTTCCTGCTTTATGGATTCGCGTTATGTAACAATTTATATTAATAATAAATTCATTTATTGTTGTTATTATTATTATCTTAGATGTGTTAAAGCAATATTTCTACAACAGCTCTTTATACAAATTCCCTGCACTTTCAAAACATGATGCACGGATTTTATGGAATATGGAATATTGAATCTGGCTTGTGAATTGTACCTTTTAAATCTAAACACATGCGTATAGTTAACAAATAGGCCATAGCACAGGCACTTAGGAATAAAAATGAAATCAAATAAAGTACAATAGATTTTAAAGTGAATGTCCACAGATCAGTCTAATAATCTTAACATTATTGTTATTGCATTTCAGCAATATACGCTGCATGTAAGTTAAAGGTAATAGTTGTGATCAGACGTTTGAATACCTTCATCACGGGAGTGAATGCCATGGTAATGATTGTACAGCATATAACTTTAATGACTTAAAAGAAAAAAAATACAAAACAAGACAAAAAACAAGAATCGCACGAGTTTAAATTTCTTTTGGATTTTCTCAGGGTTAAAAGGAAAATCGATTAGACCGTTAAAGAATAGCCCAGGAACCACCAACGCTCAGCCTGCCATGACCTGGAAACTCCAGCATCACTGTCCACAGTGGAGTGAGTTTTACATCAACATGGACAGAGAGTGTGCCGATTGAGAAAGAAGCCCTGCTCCAAAGTCGACTAAAATTTGCAGCTGCCCTCATGGACAAGCCAAATATCATCTGGGGAAGAATTTTATTAAACTAAACAAAAAGTAAGATATTTGGAGACAATGACAAGAGATATGTTTGAAAGAATAAAGGTGAGACTTCTGGCATATAAAGAAATATGCCAGAAGCTTGTTGATTGGCGCCAAAAGCATGTAATCTCGGTGCAACTTGACGTGTAACCAAATATTACGGGGGTGTTTGTGTATATATCTCTATATATACTTTTGACCATGTGCAGATTAGAGAAAATCCCCAAAAATTCAATCTAGTGCACCGAGCTTTTGTTTTCTTACAGTCATTAAAAAGAACAGTTCAAAAAAAATTATTTAAAGCCCCAAATTAACACGACATTCATGCCTATGAGTCTATGTAAAAGCTTGACCATAATTGTCTTGAAATATATTTTATATGCTCATCTTGATGGATGCCCAGACTCTACAGCTTCAGCTAATGCTGACATTCCCTGTAAGTGCAAAGGGGTGTCTTGGTGTTTCAAGATAATTTGACAGGATCCGATGTGGCTAAATTAACTGTTCATGTTTGATGGTGCATAGAAAGAAACTCTTTGAGTTCAATGGTTTCACTGATCATGCAGTGCTGTGTGCTAATTACTAGAGGACACATGCTAAAATACATACAGGACTGAAGGGGTCAGCATTGATTTTCCTGCTGCTCACTGCCTGAGTCAGGAAGAAGTGCTGAAGGTTTTTCACATGTTCACCGGCAACTTCTCATTAATCAGGATACAGCCACAGAGATATGCATAGAGTTAAATCAAAGGCTTTCTGACTGAGTTTCCACAAAAACAAAAAGCCTAGGGGTAATATGTTTCACAAGAGCGCAATGGATTGCTTTCACAGCAGTGCAAACAAAGACAGTGAATGAATGATTATAAAAAGCCCACAACAACACAACAACGTCACAAGATCAGATCTCAGTGTAACCACCTTGAAAAAGAAGCAGGCCCAGATCAACACATAAATGAGTTTATTAGCATGAAACGGATTACAGTTAAGCTGGAATGTGTCAAATCCAAGACTCAGAAGTGATCTGGGAATGCACGCGTACTGCTGCCTGCTGCCTGCTGCCTGCTTCTGCCCTGTGCTGCTCTTACTTGTTATAAATAGAACATAGACTATAGATATGCAGCTGGCTATTTGCAATGATGAGCTGACCCAGTGCAATGAAAGGCATCTCTGATGTTCTCCCAATCAGCATTTTTATCACCCGCCTCTCAAAACAAACCCCCTTGAAGTGTTTCAGAATGTGTTCGGCACACAAACTGTGAACTGACGCAGGCCCTGAATAAACAGGTTTGTCTTTGTTGTGGTTTTTCAGAACGAGAAAACAAGCCTCACAGGTGGTTTGGGGGATAGAGGGATGTGTGGGCATGTGGAGATCTTTCATCTGACTGATCAGGTTTTCAGTGGGACCCCTCACTGTGTGACCAAGCGAGGAGCAGAGCGGGGAGCAGATGTGTCTTATAGGTCTAATGAGAAAATGTTGGCATCTGTCACCGGCTAAGGTTGTACTGTATGTGGCTTCCCAAGGTTACCAAGCCGGAGCAGAGCAAATCAGGCGACTTATATTTAGCCTCGCAAATGGCGCGCTATGGATTATGTCTTGGGCCTCTCCAGTTTCGTCTTCAGTGCATTTTGCTGCGTGAAGTGGGGGCTGTGGATCTTGAACAGGATTCTGTTCAGGTGAAGAGCAGGTCTACTTCATGGTTTTAGACTAGCTCTCCTCCGACTTCTGCTCAGTGCCATTGCCTCAAGTGTTTATGGTCACTCCTCTGTGGAAGAAACTCAGAAAGTGGAAGGATATTCACTGAGTCTGAGAGACACAAGAGACTCTTGAACTGGACTAACAGCTTCTCTGGAGACGAGCTGGTAGCTGTTACACATACCAGTGGAGCACAACCAGCGTCACTGGACATATCACAGATTATTTCCCCACGCTATTGAGGTTTGGGATCAAACAGTGTCATGGATGTACTCGCATTAGAGGCAAAGAAGGCAGATGCAGTAGAGCCTGAGAAGAAAGCCGCACCGAGGCCAAAACCAAAAGCCCCCAAAAAGGCCAAAAGGATTGTTTACTTTGAGGTGGAGATTGTGGATTTAAAAACAAAGGAGAAGCTATTGCTGCTGGACAAGGTGAGTGAGAGGATGTCAAAAGAGTCTTTATTTAATTACACTCACCTTTTACATTTAGCTTAATGATTTTTTAAAAAATGTTAACAGCCAGCAGATCACTTTGATTGCAGCCGTATAACTAAAGTCCTATTTAAAAGAAAGGCCTCGAAACATTAGCATGCCATAGAGTGGATTGATTTATCACCTTGTTCTCACTCCTCTGAAAGTTTCATATTTTATACATGTTAAGTCTGTGCTGCAAGCGGCAAAACCTGATCTTACTCTGCAGCGAAGCCAAGAAAATACAGAACGGTTGCTTTGAACACATGGATGCTCTTTAAAGATAATCATCTGTTTCACAGTTTGCCCAGTCGAGTGCAGCCATTATCAGTTATGTTTCTATTGAGGTTGCAGTTAGGAGGTGAGAATTCCCTCCTCATCTGACAGGAATTTTCTGTTTCAGTTACAGCACATGCCCGCATCGCAGATAGGCTTGATTAGTAGCTAGTGTAAATGTTACAAGCTATGTCCGTAGAAGGAGGGCTCATAACAGAGTCGACGAGCCTGACAAGTTCCACAAGGAATCAAAACAAAATTGATCAAGACAGCAGGAATGATTTCAGCTTTGGTTTTTGTGCTGCTGGTAATAACACAATCTTTAACAAAATGTATTTTTTTATTTTGATTTTAGGTGGAGCCAACTGCCACTGTTTTGGATATTAAAGCTTTGTTTCACAAATCATGTAAGTTCATCCTGCACGACATCCAAAATGACTCTTGCTGACTTTGCTGAATCCGAATTACATTAAATCTGGTAGCGATGTTCAGTACAAACACGAAAGCAGCTACAGCAGTGAGACACTTGGACCACAAAGAATCTCTTCAGAATACTAATAGTAAAGTTCCTCCCCATTTTGACAGATCCTAAGTGGTATCCGGCCCGACAGTCCCTACGCTTAGATCCAAGTAAGTCTGCCACCTTTTTTGTTTTTAAAGCATTTATCTAGATTACAGAGCAGGTCGTGATGGTGACTGTTTTTGTCTCAGAGGCAAAGTGTCTCAGAGATGAGGACATTCTCCAGACACTTCCTGTGGGAACCACAGCCAGCTTTTACTTCAGTGACCTGGGACCCCAGCTCACGTGGGGAACTGTAAGTCCACCTGTACACAGACACACAACATTTGGATTTAGTGTTGTGTGTCAAGTCATGAACACATTGCTCTGTAATGCCTCTGCTCTGGGATTTAAATATACTCTAAAGACTCATAATTGTATTAGAAGAAAGGATTTAATTCTCATGTTTGCACAATTGGTTTTTGGATATGACTCAGCCACAGCTGGATTGTTTTTAATCTGCTGACTATCACTTAAAGAGAACTGCTTTTCAAAAACTGCTTTGCACTTATTATGCTAAAACATGCAAACCCCTCGACACGATCTTTTAACATTCTTGCACTTTAAATATACAAAGACACCCTTTCACCCACTCAGTAACTCTTGAATATAAATATCAGCCTACAGTGACAGGTAGAGTTGATTTGCTGTGGCGTCCCCCCTGCACTGCCCCCACCTCTTGCACTGCATGTCCTCTGTCCTAGGACATTTAATCTCATGGCCTCATTTCCCCCCTGAGGCGTTTATCCCTCCTGACCACTCACTCCCGTTTCATTGCTGCTCTTTACTCACCCATGCCCACCCAGTCTTTACATTCCCCGTCAAACCCTGAGACAATCTGAGAAAAATGCCTTTAGTCTGATGCCAGTGTGGGTGGACGAGCAGCGATCAGAAGTAGCTACCAGTCAGGCATGCTGAGCCAGGCCTCCGCCTAAGGTGCTGATTCAGGGATCTGTTTCACAGCTGTGTCACTTGATCTTAAAGCGGGTGTTACAAGCTGTCCCAGTATCTCATCTGGTCTATGCGTACATACTGAATACGAGGAGGAGTATTACTGTAACTGATTTGTTCCTAATGCTTAGGTGAGGTAGACAGACCTTTTTGATCCATGGTGGCTTTAACAAGTGAGACTGTAGAAACCAGAGCCACGCTGGTGTCAGCTGTTAGTGAGCTGGTGAGCATGTCAAGTGTCAGTTGCATGTTCTCCCTGTGGCATAGGGTTTATACCGACAAACTATCATTCTAAATGGATTTCAGTCAATAATTAGGCTATGTTAATTTCTGTAATTTGAAAGCTACTGGAATTTATGGTACTGAGTTAAAAGCATTTAAACCTGTAGTCCTGGCATTAACTTATGCAACCCCTGATTTGTTTTTAACTTTTCATTCATCGACAGGTCATATGTTGTTATGATATCATATTATGATAAATATACTAAAGTCACTTTATTAGATACACTTTATCCCAGTAAAGGGTTTGGACCCTCTTCGATCTTCAGAACTGCCTTAATGTTAATGACAGAGATTCAACAATGTGCTGAAAACATTCCTCAGAGAATTTGGTTCATTTTGTTGAAACAGAGCCACACGGTGCAGATTTGTCAGCTGCACATCCATGAAGAAAAGTAATGGATTCTGAGTTGTTCAAGCTATGTTTAAGAACGCAGTTTGACCAAACCTTTGTGACATGATGTGTTATTCTGCTGTAGCCCATCCGCTTCAAGCTTCAGTGTGTTGGGTGTTCAGAGATTCTCTTTTGCATACCTTGGTTCTAACGAGTGGTTGAGTTGTTGTTGCCTTCCTATCAGCAGGAAGCAGACTGGCCATTTTCATCTCATCTTTGACATCAGCAAGGACTTTTTACCCAAATAACTGCCACTCACTGGATGTTTTCTCTTTTTTTGGACCATTCTGTATAAATCCTTGATATGGTTGTTATGGCACCAGTTTCCGAAATATTCAGACTAGCACTCTGACACAAAAAACAATGTCACATTCAAAGTAGCTTAAACCACTTTTTTTCCCATTCTGATGCTCAGTTTGAACTTCAGCAGACTGCCTGGGGCATGTCTACATGCAAAAGTGGATTGAGTTGATTCTATGTACGATGGAGTATTTATTAGGGCCACATTAATGAAAAAAACATTAACGATTATTTTGAGAAAAAAGCCGAAATGTTGAAATTATCATTTTTGTTTCAAGACAAACTACCATGTTTGCTATACCCACTAAAAAATGCCTTGTTTAGATGAGTTAGTGAAACAAATTGATCCGCCGTCTTGTGACACAACATACATCCTCTTATTGGACCGGGGTGTAACCATCAATAACCTTGCATCTTTCCAATACCAGCTATTTCATTTTGTACAAATCCACTCTTGTGCGCTTTTCCGTCTGATCCGTCTGAAATGAGGCCCTAATATTCCTTCGTAGGCTATATAACTGTAACTGGTTGCTTAGATATTTGTTGAAAAGAGCAGGCAAACAGGTGTACCTAAAGAAGTGGCCAGTGAGTATAGTAGCATTTCTAATATCCAGCTGGAACTCTTCACTTCCAGCCATCATATCCCACTAAACCATCCTACTCCTGCTGCCAAAGAATGTAACTGATTATACTGAATAAAATGAAAAACAGGCCAAGATAAAATACTGCCAAACCACATTTCTCCTTTAATGTGTGCATTTTTTAAAATATGTGCAGCTTTCCACACAAATCCCTTAACTGGCCCTTGGTCACAAAGCTTTGAGAACCCTTGACTTAAAGCACATGTGTCTCCTCACTCACTTCAGGTGTTCCTGGCAGAGTGTGCTGGCCCGCTGATCATCTACTTAATGTTCTACTTCCGCCTTCCCTTCATCTACTCTCCAAAGTATGACTTCACCAGCAGCAAGCACTGGATCGTACAGTGAGTGTCGGCTTTCCCATGTTTTCAGAGATCTGTTGTGATGTTGGTGCAGTGTTTCACACAATCCCGGGCTTTGCACAGACCCCCCCGCCTCCCCCGTCAGCATGACAAACAGTTGGGAAGCATATTGCTATGTTGACACTGAGTCAGCGCCAAGTGTAATGGACTGCAGCGGGGCGATGTATTAATCACAGCTAAATATGTAAGTGTGTCTTTGTGCTTGTGTGTCTTGTTGCAGTTTGGCCTGCATATGTCACTCCTTCCACTACATCAAGAGGATTCTGGAGACACTGTTTGTCCATCGTATCTCCCATGGGACCATGCCTCTCAGGAACATATTTAAGGTAACTGTCCTGCACATTAAAAGCTTTGTGCATTGTAGTTATTACTTTGTTTGTGGTTACTCTTCTCAGAAATCTATGTGGAGCAATATCTAGACACTTTGACTTATAATAGTCCTGCTTTCTATGCCAGAACTGTGGCTATTACTGGTCTACTGCAGCTTGGATGGCATACTACATTAACCACCCTCTCTACACCACACCCTGTAAGTGCTGACCACTTTCATTCTCACTTTAGCTCATCAGTCAACGCCAACTTCTATCTTAATCCATTTTTCTGTGACACGTCAACAGATTACGGGCAGCAGCAGGTGAATGCAGGTCTTTACATTTTCCTGGTAAGCTTCAGCTCTCTGAGAGTCACCTTCCACATTTTAAACCCACCATCCTGTTGAATGCTCATTTTTGAATATCTTTATCCCCACAGTTCTGTCAAATAGGGAATTTTTCCATCCACGTTGCGCTTCGTAACCTCAAAACACCAGGTGAGCGTTTTGCAGCAATACGTGTGATTTTCAGTCTCCTTTTCTTACTGATTTCTTTTTAAATGCACAGTGCAGTTTGAGTTTACCCTTCGTTTCAGGCTCCAAAACCAAGAAGATTCCTTATCCAACAAAAAACCCCTTCACCTGGATCTTTTGGCTGGTCTCTTGTCCGAACTACACATATGAGGTAAGCCCAAATCAAACTCCATATTTTGGTGAAGTTCACCCTTTTTCCTTAGGTAGATGAATCTATAACATCCAGTATTTATATATTTATTTAAGGGAAATTTTCTGGGTCTATGCTCATTTTGGTGTTATTAGTATTTTTTAATGTTACTCTACTAGAACGCTAAAGGTTAACATTTCATTGTACAGTGCTGCGTTTTATCCTCGCAAGGAAAGATGCATTGCCATCTGGTGGTTATGTTCTGTAACTGTACCATCATTCTCCATGCACTCTGTGTGTGTGTCTGTAACTTATTGCTCACAGGTCGGCTCCTGGATCGGCTTCACAGTGATGACCCAGTGTGTGCCTGTGGCTTTCTTCACTCTTGTGGCCTTCATCCAGATGACGGTTTGGGCTAAAGGCAAACACCGCAGCTACTTAAAGGAGTTTAGGGATTATCCCACCCTGCGCTCCTCCATACTGCCCTTCATCCTGTAGATCTAAGCACAGGCAACAACAGCTGCTACACCCATCCAACTCCTCACTGGTAGCGGTCCTTTTTAAGGGCCCATGCATCCCCCTGGATGTCAGGGACTGTGCGCTGAGGTAATAAGGAGCGGCATTTACAGTGCTGGACTGGTAACTGAAGGACTGTCACATTGAAAGGAAGCTAGTGAAATGCAATAAAGTCTTATTTTAATGTTATATGCAATCTAGAAGATAAAAGATGTCCTTTTTATTTATTCTTTTTATGTGTTGCACAATATTCAAAAGTTTAAAAAGAAATCGTAGCTTTTATCAGCCCAATCAGTGAAATTTTATCAAAAGTATTCTTACTATGCAGCCTGGAGCTGAAAACTTGGTGGTGTCACGCAGCTCATGCAATACTCTACTTACTGACCTTTATACTAACACTGTTCTCTTATGAAGTTTATTCACTGTTATGAATCGTGTTTCCCCTGAAGGCGCTTTTCACACAAAGCTGAATTTGAAGATCAGATGAGTGAATTTGTTACTGAAAAATAGATATTTTTTGCAGGGATTTCCATCTGTAGTGTAAGGTTTGTTTACATTACTTTAAGTCACCGAACCAATGAAACAATTGCTTTTCGGTGTACTGTTGATTTAAGGGTAATAAACTCTCACAAAACAACTTAGCGGAGACACGAGTTTTATTTGCAACTCCGCAAAAGTGTCTGTTGTGTTACAGATAAAATGTGGAGGGAAATACACTGGAGATGCAGACTACATTATGTGGAATGTTACAATTCAAGTGGCTGGCTTAGATCAAAACACAAAGAGAGACGAGACAAAATTATAAAGGAATAAGAGAAGATAAAATATTGCATTTCATCGAGATATCTGTTTGTAAACAGATTCTGAGCAGCTCCGTTGAATGTCTCACAATATATTCAGTATTACAACAACATTTCTTGCAGGTTTATTTTGTGTATGTGTAAAAGCAAGTTCCTTTAGGTTGCACATATTCTGGTCACATCTATTTGCAATCGTTCCCCAAAGTGCAACTGTATTGTTGGACCACAGTCATTTTTAATTAAGACAATACAAGGAGAAAAAAAACCAACAAAAAAAAAAAACAAAAACCCTCAGGTTGTAGCATATCAGCTCAAGTGTTGGTTATATCTCCAGCCCCTTTCAGACATGCACTAGAGAATGCCCTAAAGAGCAATAACAAATAGACATTGACACTTTGTTCCGGACCTGATTCGCAGTAAAACATTCCTCTGCGATGCACGTGTGCCGCGGGCCTCCCTCACTGCTGCGGGTGTGTCTGAATGAAATCGAGAGGAATATTAACAGGAAAGTGGCTTACGTTTGAATGACAGTGCAGTCGCTTAGACACCAATGTCACATATCCCATGTCTGAAAAGGGCCTCAGTGTTATAAAAGGTACTGAAGAAATAATCCAAAACAGCAGCTACTGGTGGCAATGATAGGTTAGGAATCAGACTCTGCAGATTAGGGCTGCACCCAAATACTCGGATATTTATTCATCGTGTAGGTGGAACTTTTTTCTTTCTCAATGTGGAAAAAACACAAACCCATAAGATCTGAGCTTGAGTGCACAGCATCTGACTCTCAGCAGTGATTGTCATGCTTTAGTTCACCTCACTGCTGCTAATTAGTGACTTTCATACCTATTTAGCAAGTAAAAAAAAAAACTATGAAAAGTACTGGTTTGCAATGGAGCTCTAGCTCCCATTGTTGTCCTGCTGTTCATTCTCTCTGCACAGCACCTGTCAGATGATGCTTTAGTTATAAAATTGTCAACTATTCACTGCTGATTACCAAGGCTTCAAAGAAAAACAAGATATAAAGGGCAGCCCTAATAATGCAGGTACTTGGATAGTCTGACTTCTCCAGCACTCATCACATGAAATAAAAAGAAATTAAAGGGGGAAAAAAAGCAAACTGCACAATTGCTGTGCTTTGTTTTCTGTGATTAACAGTTTCTGGGTAAACAGAATGTGTGGTAACAGACACAGAGGGGACATCCAAAGCTGCGACAGCACTGTGTCCACAGCCATGTCTGTGTAGGTGGTCCACTTGGTTGGAAGGCTTAAACTTTTCACTTTCCCAGTGTTTTACTCTGCAGAAAGGTTGCTGCTGCACCGCTTTAAAACACTCGGAATGCAGCGGTCTCTTCCCTCCATAACGGGGTTGCAATGAGTGAAATGAAAACCATCTGAAAACTAAAGACCGTAATGAGAGGTAGGACGACTGTGTTTCAGTTTCTGGTCATTCTCACAGTGAAAGTCAATTCCACCGAAACCCTCCACCACACACCCTCTACACATACTGTATATGAAAGTGGGCAGTAGTGAGAGGGGGCGCTAAATGGAAGTTTGAGTCAATGCAGCAGTCTGCCATGTCAATCGCCACTTCAAAGGTCTTCGCATTCCAGGAAATGGGTCCTCTGCAGCACTTTTACATGGCGCTCGTAGATTTTGAGGGCAGGGCCGAGTCGGATGGACAGCCCGGTCAATACGTCACTACGCTGCATCAAAAGAAGAGACTTCCCATCAATTTCCTGCAAAAGAGGGAAAAGAATTTAATTAGAATTACGCTTGGGTTTCTAAAGATATGCTTTGAGTATTTAACCCAACGGCACCATTCTTCAGTTTTGAACAGTGCAACAGACTCATAGTGTATATACAGAGCCTCTAAAAAAATAATACATTAGAACAAAATCCATGAAGTGATGGAGTATGTTAGGTTTGACTCTGATGTATGAGCAATGCTCTCTGTAGTAGCTCTGTACCACTGCACTAACCTGTGTTCGAAAAGCGACAGCCTGCTCGGGAAATCCTGCAGCTGAGAAATAACTGGCCACATCTGCCACAGTCCACTGCAACAAGTTCTGGCTCATCTTCTCCTTCTTCACAGACCTGGTGGATTACAGGATTTAAAAATAAATCAAGAAGAGTCACAAAACCTCAATATGGCATCTGTGTGCAGGTAATGTCTTGTTTTGTTTCATTTTCAAGCTTTTACATGACCCACAGGGTAGTTTACTATAATTATTTTAAGTGCTGTCCCTCAGCAAAGGTGAACTGATAATCTGGACAATTTGCCAAAAAGTGTGGGCCAAACACCGTCAAGGACTATCTGCATGCTGAGCTGAGGCTGGCAGATTAAATGGCTGACAGGTAATTATGGCTAAATGCTCAGATCCTGCCAGTTGCTGTATTTTGTGTGTGTGTGTGTGTATATATATATATATATATATATATATGTGTGTGTGTTTAACAGGATACTCACACGTCATCCACTTTACCACCATTCAGAAGATTGTCATCAGTTGCTGTTAAGGATGATGTGTCTGCCTTCTTAAATGTGCCTGTTGACAAACAGAAATCACATTATAATAAATGTAAAAATTCCTCAAATGCAGATGATATCTGCATCGACCGCAGGGCAGCTCATTCATAAAAAGTGAACTGAACCTGAGCTCTTATGAGTAACAAACAGAAAAAAAGAAAAGTCTTAAAATGAAAAACAGAGCTCTAACTTATCTTCTTCAAGGAAAAGAAAAAAAAAAAAGCAGCTCCAGTTTTAAATGTGCAAACTCATTCCGCTGATATCCAGCAGAGCGATGTTGGACCAGCTTCTTGTAGTCATACTGGGTTGTCTGCAGTTATGGTATGTTTTTCTATTAGAGCTGCTTCACACCTCAGTAAGGTGAGGGCTCGGTGAATGAGTGTTGATACAGCCCCTTATTACACCGGACCACTTTCACAGGATGCTGGCAGGCCTGCTGTCATACACATGATGCATGACGAGGACGCAGCCATGTTTTAGATGGGTACCGCTCCTCCAAGGCAAACTCCATGCCAGCTTTGCCACTGTGCATTGTAAGTGTGCAATGTCTCACTTAGGAAAGAAAAATGCAGGTTTCACTTTGATATTCAGGCATGAGTAAAGTCACTCACAGATCCCTGAAGTAATAAAACAGAGAAGAAAATAAAGTAGGGATCTGCAATGATCACTTTTAGATAAAGATTGGAGACATTAGATCCTGGCTAAGCCCATTTCAGGATTAGTTAAATTCAGATTTAGATGACACCCCACACATATGCAGTTTATATCTATGTGTCAGATGTCGTATTACTGTAGGCATCGGTTAACAGCTGGCTTGCAATGTAGCATATTGGGTATTTAGCAGTAAGAACTACCATGGTCAATTTGAGGTGTTTTACCTTTAGGTTTCTCCCTGTAAACACAACAAACTGCATTCATTTTTACACACTAAAAACCTCCACTAGCATCTACCAAGAATGGAAGCCTCTGTCTCTTCTGGACAGAAACTTTAACCCTAAAAACTGACTCAGATCCTTAGTAAATCTGAAAGTTCACTGTTTCCCGCAAACACAGATTTACTAGGAATGTACCAACATATCAGGTTCACCTAATGATCGCCATGGGCCTAGATGACTTAACAGTGGTGGTGAAGAACATATATTTGTCATTTAACATCTTTTTGTTTTGCTGGCTAAGTCTCAAGTTAAAGTGATAAAAGCTGAAAGACTTTAAAATGAGATTTCTGTGTTTTGCCCACCACAAAGGATGGAATAAATGTAATCAAATTTAAGAAAGAATGAAAATAAGAGCCAACAAGATATACCTGAATCATTAATTGATTATGTGGTGGTAATGTAGTCATTTTTCTTCATATCATGCATCTGTGGACAGTCTAAAAACCCCATCTCTACAAGTCAGTCCTGACAAAGTGTTGCAATGACCTCTAACTACATTGGGTACTAGCTGAACAGAAGGTAGCAGCACACGCTTGTGAAGCAGTCAAAAGATCGTAAGCAATGCTGAAGGCAAGTACTGGTACAAAAAGCCAAATAACAACCAGAATGGAGCCTTTATGCCCATTATATTGACATTTAGTTAACCTCCTTAAGTTCCCTTTCTATTAGAAACCATGTTCCAAAGTGAGAGAACGATTCAGTGGTCAAGCTTTACAAAAGAGATAGAACCTGCAAGCCTGCTATACAAACACAAACAAACAAGAGAAAACTATGTAACTCACAGTTGTCAGATAGCAAAGGCAGTGTTTGTGATCTCCCATTAGAAGCATTCCTGGTCTCATCCTGCTGGTCAAATACGAGAGAACAAAGATGAATTCAACATGACAATGTCAGGTAGGAAGCAGAGGGATCAAAGAAGCAGAGGACAGATACAGATGTTAGTCACAAAAGGAAAAAACAGGCCCTTACCGGCCGTGCTGCTGAGTCTGGCACCAACTGGTCAGACGAGACGCTTCTGTCCTCCACCTTGCTTCCATCATCTTTCTTTACGTTGTTTACAGCGCAGGGGGCAGGAGCTACAGACTGGGCCGCTGGCTTCATGAATACTGCTAACACAGAGTGGGCCAATTAACACCAATTATACGCTGATTATCGTCCACATCTGACCTGCCAAATTCTACTTAGTCTAATAGGAGAAATTTATGACAGCCAAATGGATGAATGCGCCTCAGACTGGATCATCACTAAGCTATGAGAATATATTATTTTCCCCTGCATCTCTGTGTCTGGCTTACATTACAGTTGTCACTGTCAACATCCCACAAATAATTACACAGGTGTTTAAAAGCTCCCACCGACTTCTTTCATATCCAGCGCAAAGCTGAGCGTAAGCTTGCACATAAACTGATATTAGAGTGCTTTGTGCGCACGTTGCTCTGTGTGTAGCACCGTGAATACCTTTGTCTCTCTGCATTCCTGGGTGCTGGCGCTCTGCTGGGCAGACGGCAGAATCATAAGCCCAGTCATTGTGTGCAAGGGCCCTGGGGCTGGAGGGGGGCAAGGAGTTGGGCCTCTCACCAGCCTTCTGGAAAGAGGCACAGTCCAGAGCGGAGCCAGGGCTGCACCCGGGGCCGGGCCTAGCGCCAGAGGGAGAGCAGGGAGCAGAGACAGCTCGCACGGGGGCACAGTGCACAGTGGCATCTTCATGTGTGTGGCTGGGTGAGGGTCTTTCCTGCCCATCCCGGCTCTCATCGCCCCCCTCCTCGTCTGCATTGCTGTCTGTGTCCATAGCTATAGAGGTGTCAGCCTGGAACACAGGAGCAGAGGGGGAAACGTGATTTCACATTTGCACAGAAGCTTTCTAGATGTTTCTAAATCTTCATTTGGATGAGAGGGGACAAAAAGCAGGAAGAGACATCAAGTTGTTATTAGCAGCAACTTAAAAAAAGCTGCTGAGCCCGACAAGGTTGTAAGGTATTGTTGGGAACACTGAGAGGCACTGATTGTAGGCTGAGGGTATCACATGAAGGCAAGCTCGTACTGATGTCGCAATTTGACCGCGGTGGTGGTAAATTATTGCCTTTGAATGCCTCCGTCCCTTTCCGCGGTACAGCGTTCACTCCGCAGAGTGCGAGCCCTCCCGTCACAAACATGTACCCCGCTGCATTAAAACATTTAAACACAATCTTGTCTTTTCTTTTTTTTTCATGGCAGCTAAGAGTTCTCACGAACGCACACATTCCTTTCGCTGGAGCGGTTCGACGACGGCGCCCCGAGTGAAAAATCACGCCGTGTGCGACTGCGTGTCCGAGACCCAGCAGTCGAGCACATGAGCGCACGAAAGCCCGCCCCGCTCCTGAGGAAAGAGCCGCTTGAACGGCATTCAGCCGTCGCACTGCATTTCTCACAACTTTCACCGAGGCACGGTCACAAAAACATAACGCCCCTGGGGATCTCAGCCCAACATGATTTACATCTCGGCTCACAAACACTCAGAGCCGCCGACGTACTCTGTGCGTCCCCGTGTTTTTTATTTTTTTTATTTTTTAAGAGGCCTACTTGATTGATAATTTTAACACGCGAGAGCACAAAAGGGGCCGATGGGAGGCGTTTTTTGTTCATGCTCTTGTTGTTTTTCCTCAAATTTCCTCCAAAGTGCGCATGGAGTTGGGAGACGCGGTATAGACCTTGTTTTTGTGTCTGTGCTCTTTTTGTAAATAAGGGAAATAGTCAAATGAAATAAAAACAGAGAGCTTTCCAGGGCCGAGCCGCTCGCTGCACGGCGGACCAGTCGGAGATAAAAGCCGAGCTTTAACTCGACGGGCAGCCCTCCGATCAGAAAGAGCAGCGGACGACGCGATTACCAGTCTACTTTGACTTTGCGTCGGGTCAACGATTTACAGCAAAAGCGACTGGACAGAAAAGAGTCACACGAATGAGTCCGTTATCGGACACGTCACTGTCTACATTTGACCCCCTCGTATGCTGGCAAAAGCTGGTTAACACCCCGCAGAGGGGTCTGTTCAAAGCAGTCACGCATAGTCGGTCTTGTAGCAACACACACGCCTTTCACAGAACAATTTGATCTCGGCTTAACCCAAATCGGACGGGCGCATCCGCCATCTAGCGCCGGACGAACAGTTTGCGGTCGCTTTATGTTACTTCAGCTTTCTGCCGGCTCTTGCATATTTCAGAGCTTTGTGGTGCTGATTTTCCTCCTAAAATACTGTCGGCGCACAGCTGGCAGACACAGAGACGAGATGTCGCCACTGTACGGGACGTGATGAGCAATAAAATTAAAAACCAACAACAACAACAACAAAAAAAAACAGCTAACACCACGACGTTGGACGTGACCGGGCTTGGCAGTGCGTCCGATAATGGATCTAGGGGTTCGACTTCAAGCACTGCGTCGGCAATCGTCCATCGCTCGAAGAAGAAACGCAGTTTGGTGAAATGAAGTGATTGCACCCACAATGTAACTACTTTGTCACCGCTTGCAGTCGATTTTGTGTCTGTTTTAGCACACTGCACATTGCGATGGGCATATTTTGAAGTATAGACCGAGGCTAACGGTGGAAATCTAGCCATGGGCGGTCAAAAATATGATTGAGGACACGGCTGTAGCGACACTGTTTACAACAGCGGGCCCCGTTTGTTTCCCTGGCATAAAACAACCAAAAATGCAACAATGACCCACAGTCCCCCCGTCAGGTTCCTACATTCGCAGTGTTTGAGACTTTTTTTCCACCCCCCTCCTCCTCCTCCTTCACCCACTCCCACGTTGACAGAGAATGAAGAGACACACATCCAGACTTGCGTTTCGAAATAAAATTCCCACCAGCGGGGCACAGTTTTCATGCCATTATTATGAAAGTGCACTTTTCTCAACTTCCGGGCTACCTCAACTGTCATTGCGGAACCTTAACAGCACCCCCCTCCCCCTCCCTCAACGCCGAGTTTGTGGCTTGAAAAGCGCTTTCTGCTACCGATAATGGAGGCTCGGGTTGTTGCGGACGAACAGGACGGTTCAACTTTTCCCCGTCCCGTGTTTGCGCTTTCACGCCGTCCATTTAAAGCGCTTTTAAACTGTCGCGCTGTGTAAAAAAGAAAGAAACAAATTGTGCCACACGCTCCCTTCACGCGCACCTTCAGTTTTTTTCTCTTTCCCCCTCCCCTTCTCCACCTCGGCTGCGCTCGAGCGAGGTCCAACCGCCGCTCCCCGTCTGCGGCAGTTTCGGGTGCACTTGCAAATCACTCCCCTTCACCGTCCCCCTCCACTCCCTTACACACTCTCACACACACGGCAAAACATGTTTTATTTTTACACACCAAACAGTGGTCGTTCAATCCCCCCACCTGTTAATTTTCTGTGAGGTGACATGACAATGAAAACGTGCCTCCTAGCATCAGCCTCCACATACCTCCAAATCCTCCTCGTCCTGGTCAGCGGGACCGAAAGCGCTGTCCCCGTTGCTCAAGTCGGAGTGACTAGCTTCTTCCACGGCGCTCCTTCTCGCAGCCGCTGTTAACGACACATCTTCTTTTTTTCTGCTTCTCCGCTGAACCTTGGCGGCGTTTCGGTACGAAATGGAGCCCTTGTAGTTAACTTTCAGCACGGTCTGTTCTTGGATCAGTTTTTCCAGTTCTGCGCAGGTTCGGTCGGGCTCGGACCCGTGTCGTCTCCGGACCATTCGGCAAATCCTCTCCAAGTCCGGCCGGGCTTTTCGAGACCGCAGCGAGTCGATAGTGTCCAGAATCCACTCGCGGTACTTGGATTCAGACATCTTTTCTGCTCGCTTGCTTTGCTCTCTTTTTTCCCCGTTTTTTTTTTCGTGCCTCAGTGCGTCAACCTTGTGCGTTACACACGGTGATTTTCGTGAGCCGCGGTCCGAGCCCTACTGAGAAGCGGAAACCTCGCTGTACGCCTCCTGCGTTTGCGTTTGCGCTTAAGGTGGAACGAGGGAGTTAGAGCGAAAAGTTTTACTCGAGAGGCGTTTTTAAGGTGGAATATGCAGTCCTGAACGGGAACGAGCGCCCGCACTCGGTATTAAGTGTGGTCCAGTTGGTCGGAAAGGTAGCTTTTTGTTTATTGTTTAAGATTAACACAAACTGGCAACAACTATTATTATTAGTATTATCGTTCAACCCTTGATTAGAGTAAACATCCTGTCACGGAAATAATTCTTAACACGTGATCCAGTCCTTCGCCTAGCTTCGCAAAATCAAATCAAAGCCACAGACCAAACTGAGACGCCCCCTCGATGCCTAAATCTTAAGTAAGAAATAAGCATTGCACAAACAGGCAATACATATATTTTATAAAAAAAACAACAACAACAAAACCCACAAATTACATACAAGCCGTGCAGCCATCAAACACTGCACAAGTGATCTGAATATACAAACGATTGTCAATGGTACATTCTCCTTTAGATTTACAGTACAGTGGAGGAGTCTTGAGCTTCCCTTCACGTTTTACCTAATATTTTGCTGGGAAAGTGGTAAAGAGATTAAGCAACTTATTGAAACATGTCCATACTATTTGGTATGACCACCTTTATTTGTCAACAAAGCCCAAACTCTCTTGTAAGTCAGGAATAGTTCTCCAGGCTCCCTGAAGGACATTCAGAGCTCTTCTTTGAATAATGGCTGCCTTCTTGTTCTGTTCTCTGTGCAAATGATCCCACGTTGCTGGCTCTGAGAAGGCCAGCCCAGGACTGACAGTGCCCCATTGTGTATTTTTCTGTCCAGGTATGCTTTTACTGTATTAGCAAGTGCATTTGGGTCATTGTCATGTTGAAATATAAAGCCACTATGCTGACCAGGTGGTATTGCATGGTGGATTAAAGTCTGATGGCACTTTCTGCATTCATAAGAGCCCCCCCAACACCTCTGGCTGAAATGCAGTCTCATACCGTGGCAGAGCCTCCATCATGTTTTACAGATGGTTGCAGACACACACTGTTGCACTTCTCCCTGACCTGAAGTGGATTCATCACTCCTTAAGAGCTTTTGACACTGGTTTTCAGTCCAGTTTTGTGTAAGTTGGCATACCTCAGGATTTTCTCCCCGTTTCCCTTCCGTAAGAATGGCTTCTTGACAGCCACCCTTCCACTGAGACCATTTCTCCTGAGGCTTCAGTGAACAGCAGATGGATCAACTGAAGAGCCAGATCTGTCTCTAAGGTCAGATCTTTGATGGATTTTTTCTTATTACTTAAGGATATGACTTTTCAGATATTGTTCATCTGCTGTAGATAGTCTTTTAGGCCTGATACTTCTTCTATTAGCCTCAAATTTAAGACACACTGCTCAGAATTTTGAGATATGCCAAGTTTTCAGCTAGTTGCCCTTTAAGAATCACCCTCTTGGTGCACAAATACTACCTTATGCTCACCAAACTGTGTTATATTTGGCATTTTTCATAAATGTAACAAAAACAAACAAACATGCTTTTGCAATATTGCAACAAGCTGTTAGTAACAAAGTGCCTAAAGACAATTTAAAAAATGGTTCTTCGCTAAGCTGTCTGTGTAGCCACAACACAGGTTCATCCCTCGAGTTATGTGCATTTTTTAATGCTTGAATGATTCATAGGTCAGCAGCCAAAAAGCCAAGAGAACTTTTGCTCAAGAGCACTTCATTGCAATTTGTTAAAGTTTGGCTCTTTGGAAGCAAGATATAAAGAAATGAGGGGTAGCACAGGGCTTTTACACAGTACTGCACCACCACAAAAGCTGTTTCAGTGATTTATAGCTTTTACATTATAGCTTACAGTATATATGTTAACTTACATCTTGGTAAGGTTTTGGGGTCACCAACTGCTGCCTCATAATGTCAAAGCACCTTGTTAATGTTTCTGCACCATTTCGTGAAAAGATATCCTGATTTGGTGGCGGAGAGCATTGTTAGTTTATTAATCTCCTGTAGGCGTTAAACTAAGTCAGGAGTCTCTCAGCCCATTCAGTGACCCTTTCTGCATTTTAGATAGGGTGGGGTCCTTGTCATCCTGAAAGAAACCACCCCAGTTTCATCATGGGATCACTTAGGACAAATCTGTATTGATTTAAAGTGACCATTAGCCCCTAAGAAGACATCATAGGCTCAAACTATGTCACCCACAGCTTGACAAAGTCACCAGATACCCTCAATGAAAAGGTCAAAGTTTAAGGTTTTCATTTAATTAGTCACTCATCTGCATGTTCTCCACATTTACAAATATGCACTAACATTTTTCTTAATGTAATGTGTAATGTAATAACAGATTTACTCCATGGCTTTGTATTTTTTTAATGGCAATAGTGCATTCATAATGATGGCTCAGGTTTCTAGGCCTTTAATACGTGCAAACATATGCGGACCACTGGCCAAATTGCCCACTTTATTTTACACAGCGAGGCATTCCAATAGTTTTTCATTTGTGATTTGAGGCTTTTCTTGATTTGGAAATTCTGAATCCCTTACTCCTTCGCAGATTGCTTTAATCTTTAAGAAAACAAATCACAATTCTTTTCTCCCCTCAGTCAGTGGGAAAAGCTTCAGCTTGAGCTTCTTGAAAAAGTTCCATGGTGGATTATTGTGGCCAATATGCAAACCATTAAAAACAGAAACGTTATCTGAGGTCCTATTATTAAAAACTCAGCATCTGAAGCATGCAGAGCAACATCTGGATAGGCCAGACTTGTATGGAGAACAAAGAGCTCAGCTCTTTGGTCATATTTACTGGCGATACATATATAGATCTATAGATATCTATACATATATATTCAGAGAAAGAGAGAGGGAAGGAATTGCACTGATGAAAAGAACACCTTGGGGCTGGGGATATTGTGCTTTGGGGTGGTGTCACAGGAAACATTGCATGGATAAAAGGGAAGAAAAAAAATTTCACTGCCTATCAGCAAATTCAGGATGCAAATGTCATGCGATCGAGCCAAGGAAGTGCAACTGAAAAAGTGGCTGACTTCTGCAAGACGACAGCGATCCACACATGAAACCCAAGCTGAAGCTTTTAACAGCACATGCCCACAAGTACTTTTTATTTCATTAAATAAATCAAAGTGGCAGGAGAGCATTAACATGTGGAGAATTCATTTTTGATGCGCGTTTGCTGCAGGAGTCGTATTTATTGGTCTTCAGTTCAAAAATCAACAAAAATATGCAATTCGCCGCAGGGTGCCAAACCCTTTTGCATACAACTGTATGACTTATGCAGATAGATGCAAGTGAGGAGGAGGAATGAAAGAAAGAGGGGGAAGAAAAAAATAAAAGTGCACTATGGTTGGGGTTACATTTGGAAAAGGGGTGCTGGGAGCTGGTTGGTAACTGACACCATACTGTGACAGGATGAACACAACACTGCATTATTCAATTGCGCCTGCTATCCTCTTAAAGCATTCACAATAACAGACAGGACGGTGGAAATACAGCATCTGCCATCACCTACCGGCATGTTTATTTGTCTTATCCAGCTGTTACCCTACAACTGCTTTCTGCGAAGTGAAGAGAAAGTTTACATATAACCCAGACATATTAGTCTTAACAAGTAAAACTTTATTGGAATGATACATTTTGCAAAATATTACTTTATGTATATATATTTTTAACATACTCATTGTGTTCTAAGGGTATCTGTCAAGTTCTCCAGAAGAGGGTAAGATAGTTAAGACTGTCGAAGGCAAGGATATACAGTATTGTTTCCCAAAAGGTACAATAGACTACACAATCACTGTACCCAGGTCATGAGGAGAAAGATTAATGTTGTTTTTGCTTTTTTTTTTTTCCTCTCTTTTTCTGAAAATACAATTAGAAAATATGAACGCAAAACATCTCAGATGTAAAAAGTGTTATGTTTGAAAGAAGTGTGTGTGGAAACTTGATGAAAAGAGAAGGCAGACGGGAGAAAAAAAAAAACCTTAAGTAGCACAGAGCAGTTGATAGCTGATAGAAAAGTGACAATACGTCTTGTATTGTAAAGAAAAAACAAAGTGTGATGCTTCGGTGTCTGAAGTGGATCAAGTGGCGTTGCCTTCTACCTGTCGACGGTTTAGTCATCGCTGGGTAGAAAGGCATTACATGTGCCCTCTTCAAAACATTACAGTGTGTATTAAAGGACTCAAATATTTAGCACAAATGAACTGTGTGGCCTGTGCTTCACTGTGTTCAAAAGGCTGGACAGCTTGGTTAGTGAGCAACTTTACTGTTTAGTGTGATGCTCAAACAAATCCCCCGAAAAAAGGTTAACCAGCAACCAGACCGTTAGCTGTGGAAACAGTGCTTTTTCAAACATGTCTAAGGCCCAGAGGGAAGTCTTCTCATTGGGCTGCTTTACCACGTGCAAGAAAAACCAAACCTGCCAACTAAATGTATTTAAAAAGAAAAAGAAAAACCCCACACACATCAGGTTTCCAAACAGCACTGAAACTTCTCCATTTCAAGACATTCTCAAAAAAAGGGAAAAAACAAAGCATCCTGCGATTGATCTCAATCGTATTAAGACACTGCCAAAAATGATCACTCAAGCCAACTGAAATCAACTGGAGCCAAAACCCCCCCAAAACATTCTAAACATGTCACGTTACACGACTGTATGACAAAGAGCTCGATGCACATCAAACAGTTCACAGAAACTTTTCAGTGAGATGGACAAGGTCTAGCACCTAAGGCCTATGTATGGATGGCAGGTGGGCGACAGCGTTAAGTCCTTCAATGAACCAAAACATTGTGTTCACTCAACAAACCAGCAATAAGATTTGGTCTGCGATTGTCTTGCATCCATGTAAAGAAACTTGGCAAAAAAAAAAAAAAAAGCTTTAGGTTTGCTTCCTTGGTTTTAATTTGTTACAGAGAGAGCTGGAAAAATAAAAGAAACAAAACACTCCCAAACCCAACAGTTCAAAAAAGAAAAAGAAAATTGGTTGGACTGTAAATCTACGAAGGTGATGATGTAGGGAGAATTACAAAAAGGGGAGGGGTGGGGCAAAAAGGTCAGGGAAGAGGAGAAGCACAACCCCGGTGACAATTATCTGCAATCTGCTGCCCTACAACTGAATAATGACTCAAACCCAGAAGAACTTTGACGCATTTAACTGGGTCTTGTTCCCAATCCATCTTCCAATAGAGCACTGACTGTCCTTTTTAATGTTAAACATTATTCGTGATCTCAGGTACCTCGGCACGAGCAAAGC